ATACTGGATAGAGAGGTAAATTCTGTTCTTCCTACAGCTGGAGTTGCTGAGGTCCACAAATGAAGAGCTTTCTCTGTCAATTCTATAATGATGAGAGTTGGAATAAAAAAAAGACCAGCACCCAGGACTTGCAACAGTACTGCTCTTCTCGGAAGAAGAAACTGCATAATGTAGAGGTATACTGCAGTTTAATTAAAAAACAAACCAACACAAAAAATCACTTCTCTCTAGTACCTTAGAGTATTCTGGCATTTGCAATGTAGTAACAAGCTCAGTAGTTTACACTGGGAGCAAGATGCCTCCATAGGTTGTGATGGCATATTCAGAAATGTATCAGACTAATTCTTCCCTTATCAAAAAGAGTGACAGCACTTAGAAAAATACCACCTACCATGTCCTCCCTTAGTCTCACAGGCTCTAAGGAATACAGTTATCTGCAATATCATTTTCTTCTAACAATCTTTCTTAAGGGAGCTGTTGATAAAAGCCACATGAGAACACAGTATTATCTGCACACTGCACTGGAACTCATCTCTGGTACAAGCAGAGGAGAGGAGAATGGTATTAGAAGATGGTGGTCACTATTTCCTCAAATGTTGTCACTACATGGCTGTTGCTTCTTTACAACAACATTTGCTAAGTATCACACTTTGGAGGCATAGTTTCTACGAAGAATATCAGATCACAGTAAACTAAGAAGTAAGTAGCTTGAGATTACAAATATAGCCCTTGCTGTACATGAGTACTGGCATATATGACCTTCAACAATTGTCACCGGAACAGAAGAAACACCTCATTATCTTCATTACAGCATTGAAACCCCCAACTGTTAGTAATTCTAATCAGCTTTGGCAAAAGCTATTTTAACACTTGGGGCAGTGAGAAAGGTAGAGAATCAAAGTCTCAGTCACAAGAACATTACCATTCAGGCAAGGCTAATCTTATTGCTACAAAATAAAACTATAATCTCTCAAATGACACTAGTTCAGACAACAATACAATAACCACTCAATTTACAAATTAGAACTCCTAATCCTTGCAGCATGTGTTTGACTAAAAAAGATACAGAAAGATAAGCAAAGGTTTAGCAGGACCAGCAGGAGGTCTAAAATCGAAGTTCCTCAAAGACAACTCATTCTTTTAATTATCTGTGTCATGCATAGGATAAAAAAATAAAAAAAAAAAAAAAAAAACCACACCCCACAACAACCAACCAACCAAACCACAAAAACCCAAACCAAAACAAATAAACAAAAATCCCAATAACCAACCAACCAACAAAAAGGCAGGTCAGGCTCTGAAACTTAGAAAAGCTGCACAACATGGGCCTTATATTACATCTCAAATTTCTCCTTTAAGACCTAGCTTGCAGCAGTAAGTTAGAGCTGCTGCAATCTGAGATTTCTGTATGAGCAACTTGTGATGTTAAAACACTACAGATTCTAGCATCTTATCTCTTTTAATTGCTGACTGGAATGGACTCTGTTGGAAAGGAAGTAAAAGCTAGAGTTTTACATTTTTTATGTTTGCCTCAGGCTACTAGCAGAAAAATTCAGGACTTTTTCTATGTCAGTACCAACAATGTGTCACATGTCATTACTTTATAATTAGGCTGATAGCCAAAAAGAATAATGCATCTGACATACTATTAAAAATAAAGTATTCCCTAAAGCATAAAAACACTGACACAAGCATTTTAAAAGGCAGTGTAAAAATGATATGAGAAACTACTTATCTGTGCTGCTGTCTTTTCCCCCACAGATTCAAATAAGTTGTTCTAAGTTATGTATGCACCGAATATTTAATTATCCTATGCTGATTCAAAAAAAAAAATCATATTTGAAAGCAAAATGCAGTTAAACCCTTGCCTGTGAATACAAACTGCTATGAGAATAGCAGGTTATCTACACTCTGTATTACTCTACAATTCCAAAATCCATCTTTCTTCAACCCTTCAAATAAGTAGCTCACAAACCAAATACATTTTAAAAAAATAGAAAAACAGCCTTTTTTTGTCAAGAGTTTGCAATTTACTTAAAGTGTAATAATGATTCAAGCCTTAAATAATGAATTTGTAAACACCTGAACTTCATTCTGTATAGAATTTTCTATAAAATGCTCCTAACGAAATCAGGATTTAGGAAACGCAAGGCTGTAACTCCATGTAGTTTAGAACATATTTAGTTCAGACTGTATCCAAAAATTAGACAGACTATCAGAATTATGAGGTTACAAAATTGTGGTTTATAGCCAAAACAACGGTCTTCACTCGGCATGGCCAAATTTCATTTCTTTGTTAACACAAGTAGTAAGACATGTCCCATCTATTCCTTGCAGGTACACTTATCACAGGATGTGTGTTATTCCATGTGTTGATGTATAAACTACTGGAAGAAAGCATTTCCACATTTGTGGATTTCATCTGCATTGTTCAAAATACAAGACTTCGAATTCAGTTTCCTTCTGAAGCCAGCCAATAGCACACTTACCTTTTTTTCTAACAACTATTAATACTTTTCCAGTTGGCCAAAAAAAAAAAAAAAAAAAAAAAAAAAAAAAAAAGAGTCCTTCATGAAGCTGGCAGATCTGGTTCTTTGTTCCCTCTGCACAGTGCTTTCATTTCCAACACAATGACAGACAGAGAAGTATTGTGTTTTCAAATGTATTACAAGGAATCCTGTGATTTAGTTGTTGCTATTAAAGAATTATATTCAGAGATTATATATTCTGAAGTGAAATTATTTCCACCTATCTTCCTCTTATGTTCTAGACACAGAATTTATAACACATTTGATTACAGCAATATCATACTGCAGAAAAAGACGGGTGACTTTAAAAAGTTATCTATTATTTGGTTGCCTATTCCTTGAATACTACCAAAGGAAGGACTATGTTTTCTCTCTGCACTCTGACACCAGCATCCACAACCTTAAGTGATCTTTTGATTCATCATGCTACAAAAATAAGTTGACACGTACAAAAACAATATGGCAGGTAATGCTGTAGAGGATCACCATTCTTCAGAAGTTTAATACTCAGTGCACCATGCACACTTTAGCAACAGGGGAAGGACCACCGCTACACTGGAAGATACAAACTGGTATCATCCCTGGAAGATACAAACTGGTATCATCCCTTCACTGCTGATTTACAGAGAACTGAAAAAGGTGTTTAATGCTTTGATTTTCTGAGTATACACCTGAGGTTTTGTGTCCTTTCCCCATTCTGTTTTCAAATTTCCCCTGCATCACCAGGGTTCTGGTCACTTGCCTCGGCAGCTTCATTTCAATCTGGAGGCTGCTCAGGGGCAATGTTAAATTTTGGCATGAGGTCACACTAAATATAATGGGTCACAAGCTTGGCCAGTTCCTCAGACAAAGCCACCATGGTAGAAGAGGAACGGTTTCTCTGTGTTCCCCTCTGCACACTACATAAGCTGAGAAAAGACTTCTTTTGCAGCATGAAAATATAGGACAACTTGGAATGATTCTGTTTAGAAAGAGCAAAAACCTATAAAGAACGATATAAGCTTTGGTATATTGCTTTTAATAAATGAAGAATATTTTCACGTAAATTCATACACACAATTGCATTTGAAACACGCATGTGTAATGGCAAGGTAACCCTGTATTTTTCTAGATGTGCATTCTTACGTAGATGGATAACTAAAGTTAAGTTCATGAACTCATTCACTTATGTAAAAAAGAGCCAAATTTTTCAAAATACCAAATACGACCAACTAACTAAAATCAGCATCATATCTGAAAACGGGAAGGGAAAAAAAACATGCATCAGACTTCAATTTGAGACTGTTTTTTAATTTCTGGGAAAAGAGCACTTACCAGTTACTGATGATACCTCAATTCACCTCAAAGACTAAACTGAGTATATATCAGATGCCTTCTATTACAGTTAACTTGAAAAAGGAAAAGTCAATGCCTTTAACAAAGTAAAAATATTGATTTTTTTTCCACCTGATGAAAACAACCACAAGCAAGTTAGAAAGCACTGTGTGCTAGGCATAAACAAGTAGTTGCATAATTACGTATTTCAGTTTGTGACAGCAAACTTATTTTTCTCCAGTATTATTAGAATTTATTTTGTTATTCTTTTTTGATAAAAGCAATTAAAGATTTATAAAAAAAAATAAATGTATAAACACATCTCAAAATCCCCAAGCATTCATTGTCACTTAAATGAAAACACAGTGGCTAAATAAGCCCCACTACTGGAGTTCAACGTCTGGAAATTTGTATCTTGATGGTGTTAGAATAACTACATTAGAAATCCTTCCCAGAGAGAATCCCTGGAGTATATGTGTTTGGGTTTTTTTAAGTAGTGGTGATCACAGATAAGTAATATCTTTAATCAGTTTGTCCCCCTCATACAAAATAAGTTAATGGTTCTGACTTCCCTGCACTCAGAAAATCTTTGCCCAGAGACAGAAATATAAAATATTGTATTATACTGCTGTTATTTAACTTTAAGATCTATGCATTCACTTTACAAATAGATTTTAAGTGAGCACTTGAACTCGAAACATTCTCCAGTCTGTGGCACATCACCACCATCACGTATCACATGTATTAATGCAGAAAGTGAATGAAACACATCGAGTATTTCAAATTGAAAACCAGCTGTTTCTGAACATGAGGCAAAGTTGATGCGTGTGAGTATTTTATCATTTAAGACAACAGATCCAGTCATTTCTCAAAACTGGAGTCACTAGTACTACCTGGGATACAGATGTACTTTGCACGTGCCACTCAAACTGCATTCGGCAGCACAAATGTGAACAGACACAAAACATCCCAAATTATTGGCAGGTGATCATGCTCTGAAATCAATTCAATGCAAAGTGCAGCAGCAGCAGCATCTATTCATGGAATTGGAGAGAAACGGCAAAAATAACGGCCTCACTTGCTAGGCAAAAGAGCCCGGGACTTCACCATTTCCTCAAGTCCCTTCCTCAGCTTTTGGAAAAACAAACAAAGGCTTACCTTTCTGTACACCAGCATGTTTGGGGATTCATCAGCCACCCCGTTGCTGCTTTGCCCATAGTTATTTCCTTGTGCCATGTCCCACAGATTTGAGCTACCTTTGAACGTTGCACTGTAAAAGGTAAAAGTTGTTTCAGTAAGACATCGCCTCAGGTCTCCTTCCTTCCCCGACGATTAATGGACGTGACTTTCTACCAACAGTGTTAGCAGGATCAGTGTAAGCTCTTACTCCAACAGATATTTACATTGGAGCAAAGCTGCTAATACACCATTTACCATCATTACTCTCTTTGGCCTGTAAATAATGAATGTAATATGCTAATCTAATTTAGACATTAATGAATCGTCACTCCGAATAGCTCCCTGACATACCGCTAACCACCAATACCATGCGGATGCCTCCTCGGGAGGCATTCCTTCCTCCCCGCCCTGCACAGGCTCATCCCTTGCACCAAGGGGCACTCCGCACCTCTCAGCCCGCAGTTTTGGGAGGGCTGACTCAGCCCACGACTGCGTAGCCCGCAGTGCCCTCTCCCCACGGCTTGGGCCATATCAACTTTCACAACCCTCAAACGCACAAAAGGCAAACCAGACGCTTTAAACTTCTCTTTAATTCACCACCACGTGTGTGCTCTTACACACACGCCGCGGGAAGGAAGCAGGTAACAGGGGGGAAAGGAAGAAACTAAGCCAGAAAACCTTTCCGGTTGTTTTCACCTACTTTCACCGTACTTCACCGCAAAACACCGGCTCCGCCGCCAGCCCCGTCTCCTTCCCGCCCTCCCCCCGGTCACACGGGAGCCGCACTAAGCGAGAGCTCAGATCATGCCGTAGCTCCGGCTTTGCACGCAGGTGTAAGAATGTGCTCCATCTACAGACCACACCGGCGGCTGCGGAGAGCCCGGAGGGCTGAGCTCTACTCCACACACTTACCCCCCCCACACACCCTCCCCCCCCAAAACCACCTCCATCCCCTGCACACCCCCCCCCCCGCCCCAGCCCCTTCGCTCGCACCTCGCCGGCTCGCCCTGCCGTGCCCCTCGGCAGCAGATGGCCCGGGACACCCGGCTGGCCGGCCCGCCGGCGAGCGCGGAGCCCAGCGCAGCGCGGAGCCCGGCGCGGAGCCCGCGGCTTCAGCACCGCGGACAGCGGCGGCGCCGCCCGGGGTGGCTGACGGCGGCGCCCCGGCCCGCCCCGCTCCCCCCCCCCCTCCCCGGACCCAGCGGAGCAGCGCGGAGGGGCGCGGAGGAGCGCGGAGAGGCGCTTCCCCCCCCCCCCCCCCCCCCAACCTCCGCCCGGCGGGTTTACCTCCTGGGCCAAGGTCACTGCGCGGTGGCCGCGGCTCCTCGCCTCCGGGTGCTGCTGCTGCTGCTGCTGCTGGCGCGCCCCGCGCGGTGGGTGTCAGCCGGCGGCGGGCGGAGGGGCGCGGGGATGGCTCATAGCACACACACACACACACACACGCACACGCACACGCACACGCACACGCACTGCGGGCGGAGGCGCCGCCGGTGCCGCCGCCGAGGCTGCGGCTCCCCCCCCCCCCCCCCCCCCCCGCCCCGGCTCTGCTCTGCCGGAGCGGCGGCGGCTCCGCTCCCTCCCCGCAATGGAGCGGCCGTCACGTGGGGGACGGGCACGTCAAAGGTGCTGCTGCTGCCGCTCCGCCACACAGCAGCCCTCCGCCTCCGCCTCCTCCTCCTTTTCCTCTTCCTCCTCCTCCTCCTCCTCGGCGCTCTCACCGAAAACAGTGGCCAAGAAGCCGCAGCTGGCAGCAGATCTGGCAGCGGCCCCTGTAAATGAGATTAGGCAGCACCGGAGGGCTGGGCAGGAAGGGAATGTGGGCTAATGGGGTAGGGAAGGAAGCGGGGGGGGAGTTGCTGGTGAAAGACACTGGTGGGCAAAGTGCGTCGCCGCCTTCTTACTCCTTTACCGACAGCTCCTCTGCTTTATGCTGGACTCTTCGTGTATTTTTTTTTTTTTTTTTTTTTTTTTTCGGCGAGAACTAGGGAGAGCTTGTGCCGCGTTGGCAGCGCACAGCATTCTGTGCAGTGGAACAGAGAGAGCCGAGGGCGAGACGGTTCCAGCCAGATGGGAAGGAGCCCAGAGGACACCTCAGGGCTGTTTTGCTACGTCCCAGGCAACTGCCCGATTTGTGAAGGCCTAGCATTGGCCAGGACAGAAGAAAAAACATCAGGTCTGTAAATCTTAATTCCTCATCCCATATGGACAAGAATGCTTTGATTTTCCAGAAGGGTTGAATGCCCAGAACTCAACACCCACGAGAACATAAATGGTTAAGCTTTGGGATATTCCCATTTGAAAGTGTCTTTTCTGGAAACAGTAACTCTTACTACAAGGATGATCTTGCAAAAGAAGTTCTCGTCTACCCCTCATCTACCGCGTGCTGCATCTTGTGGGGTGCACACTGGTAAATCACACAACTCAGGCAGAGGGGTTTCCGTACAGACTACCTCATCCCCGCTCTTTCTTCACTTCTCACATCTCGAAGAGACTCAAATCAACACTATCCTGCTAGAAGTTTGCTATTATTGACTACTGCAACTACTTTTACCAACTCTTCCAAATTTTGCAGAGACCTTCAGATCCTTTAACAGAGAATGTGATAAATTAGCCAAGGCAACGAATAAGGGGTCACAGTGTCCACAACAAAAGAAAAGGAGAAAGGACAGGGCTGATCTGGACTTCTTGGAGAGCTGAGGAAAGGAAGACATAGGTTTGATAACGATCCTAGAATGAACACCAAAGAAAGATGATCTCCAACATGAATAGCAATGTTCTTCAGAGAGGGAAGTAGTAAAAAGTGAAATGACACCACATAGAATAAGAATCAACAACTCAGTTCAATGAGATGTATCTCCAACAAAGGAAAGAAGCTCTGTAGCAGATGGACGCTGTATGTCTTGACTTTTACAGAGGACAATAATGTAGTATGTCACAAGGAAAATACAGTGTGGAAACAAATGGTGTGGACAGGAGAGAAATATGGAGTTTTGAGATGGAAGAGACATCAATACAAGTGAAAGAATTCAACAGCCCAAGAGGAAAGTGAAGAAGTATCAATGGTGCAAACAGTGGGCAGAGAAAGTTATGAAACTAAAGAATAAACAGAGAACTGAGAAAAGATTCGTTTCCCATTAAAATCCACTTGACATACAATAGCATCTTGATAGGGTAAGCAATGAAATCTGAATCAAAATACTAATCTTCCAACAGACTCTGTGATTCAGTCCAGTCCACTGTTGAGAAGTGGGTACTAGGAATAAATATCTCAGTCTATAATTTCCCAAGCTTTCACACGGATGTCCTAAATGAGCAGCGCTGCAGTGTTCAGATCTCACAGATCTGACCGTGTAAGACTGACAGGTGCACTGGAAGTCAAGGGAAATGCTTCCCAAGGTCTGTTAAGAACACAAGTGACACCTTCTGTGGTTGTATGGCATCAAAATAATCTCAAAATCATATTTACCAGACTGGTGTTTAAATTTCCTTTTGAGAGTAAAAATGGGAGCTGCACAAAATACACTTTAAATGCAACTTTACCCTGAAAGAGAGATAGGATGCAAATCATTTAAAGTATTGTTAATACACATACTCCTTCCACTTGTTCTGCCAGCCAACACTTAACATAGTAATTGTGTTAAAGGGCATAAAAATCAATCATTAGCAAGTTTCCAATAAACCCATACATTTGTTTTCTTACTCAGCCTCATCTTGTTACTAATCCAAGTGGAAAAAAAAAAAAAATAAACAGAGAAAATTAAACCCTCTTGTACTGCAATTCTTGGACTACATACATGAAATTGTTTAGAAGATGATTTCAACCTACCTGTTTACATTAAGCTATTCAGCAAATAAAATGTAAAATACAAAATGCTATCCTAGTAGATGAGGTTTATATATTTTCTTTGAAAATAACAAAATTTCATTATAAATGAAGATCTAAAGCAAGTATGTAGAGAGAGCAATGACTTGGACCTACTGAAATCAATAGGTGTTTGTCCAGTAACATCAAAAGGAACTATATTTAGCACAGAGTCTTTAATCTTGTCCTCAGAACCGGGGGAATAACTCAGACATCCGAGTGATGTGTCTCATAACTACAGACTTACTACGCTGTAGGCACACCAAAAATTCTTCCACTTCACTAGCAAGTCCATTATCAAAATAAAACAGAAGTTATAAACCCTGACAGGTTTAAACAAAAGAAAAGTCCAGAAACAACCCAAAAGAATTTCCTTTTTGTCACCATTTTGTGGTAAAAGAGACCCTGGGCTGAGCTACTTCCATAAATGCAAGTAAAAAGAAAATAATTTATTTTTTAAAATTATGTAAGTGGATAATCTTGTTCTAATGCAGTTGGATGTGTTTGTTCAACAGCCTATAAAAGGCTTTAATTCATAAATTACTTACACATCTTTCCCTTGTTGGGAGTCATCACTTATACACAACCAGCATTAGCATCCCCAGAAAGCATGGTCTGCCAGAAGAGGAATGGCCTGTTTCAATATGCAAGGCAAAACTACTCATTAATAAAACAAAGATGATGGGAAAGGCTGCCAAGGGGCAGATTTATCTAACAAGGCAATAAAGTACACATGATTTAGCAAGGTGGTGACTACATTTTCTGTGTTTAGTTTGCATCGTCAATACAACTCAAGCATTCCAATAACATCATATGCACATGCTACACAGAACACAAAGGCATTTTTAAGTCAAATTATTATGTCAGGTTGTACATGATAATCTGTCTGGATGCAAAAGAGATCAGGGATTTTGTTGTCTGTCCTGCTGACCAGTGCTGTAGCATTATGTCAGTATGCTGTCTATAGCCATCAATTTATCTCATCTTCTGCCTAGTCTGACTGTTCCTTGGAGTAAAGACATGCTGTGCAAACTCTTAACACAGCATGATCTTGTTCCACGACCAAGTCTTTAAAACATTACAGCATTATAAACAATCACATTCAAATTTACCAAAATAACACAAACATTCTAGTTAACTAGGCTCTAAACACTGACATGTGTTAATACTGTGCTACCTGAAAGTATAAAACCCAGATTTTTTTTCCCAGAAGCCTGGTTAAGCTCCGAGATGGCCCATCCACTTTAACTGAACTAATATATCTGTGACCCTACAGAACCACAAGCATTTCAGTGTCAGGCTCTGAATTGGTGGCTAGTGATTCCAGGCCCAATCCTTGGCCTTTCTGATGAGATTTGAACACCTGCTCCTTCAGGAGTGAATTGCAATCAGTCCATTTAATGTAGGTCTTAAAATGTCATTCAGATGATTACAGGTTACAGTATATATTTGCTAGAACTGAACCCAGGACTGACTTACAAACTTCACTGCTTCCTCCATAACACTTTTTTTAAGCCCTGGGTGTTCGGTTTGTCACATACCTGCCAACCCTACTGAAACTTTAATTACCTTTGTCAATTTAAGGCATTGAAGATCAAAGTTATTTGTACTTTTGGTTAGGGCAAGAGTTAAAACACAACAAAAAGAGGACTTTTAAAACAGAGAAGAAAGTAACTAAAAAGCAATCTAGATTTAACAAGCAAAAACTCTGAGCTGATAGAACAACAGGAAAAAATTATAGTCATGGACAGACACAATTTCACAGGAATGGAAAATTATTAAAAATAAGGAAAGCCCACATTTCCGTATTCTTTTTTCTAAAAGTATTATATATATATGTAAAAATATACACACACACACACATCCCCCATACAGATCATACAATACGATTTGCATATATTTAAAACCTTAATGGAGCTAATTTCATGCCCTACTGTCATAGAAAATCCACAGCTACATAGAATTCGATATCAATATGGTGCCCCACCACAGCTATCCACGGAAATTCAACACCTTCTACAGACAAAGCCTCAAGCACTTGTACTGCAGACCTGACAACTGAGCCAGTTCTAACGCTATCCAAGAGAGGGCAGTCTTTCTCAGGCCAAGAGAAAGAGGTTACATTAGCTGTGTAATACACAAGTAGCAGGGATCAACATTCATTTTCTTTCCACAGAAAGAACTACCACAGCCAGCTACACATCCTCATTTCCTCAAAAAGTGAGAGCATTTACAGACATGAGATATATTACACTGTATTCTTTAAAAACTGCTGGGAAGACTCCTGATCTTATGCCTAAATCACCAACAAGAGAAATGAAGCAAGCATGTAGGAATAGAACTAATCTCCAGAAAAAAAAAAAAAAAAAAAAAAAAAGATGGGGCTTTGAGTCATATTTGGATCTCATCCTACCAACATCCTTGACTTAGGAAAGGTTCTGAATCCTGATCTCTCAACTCTCAAAACAGCTCTTGGGGAGGCTTTCCTATTTTCTGTAAAAACATTCTTGACACAGAACAAACCTAGAGTTTGGAGAACAGGACATGTGGTCTCTGCTTTAGATAAAATATTTAAAATAAGGGTGTATTGCTCTCAGCATCTCTTATTATTTGGTATTTATGACACTTTCC